CAATGAAGGCTGAAAATGGAAAGAAATTTTTGTTGGAAGTTGGAAAATGTGTTTCTTCTAAATAAACGGATACGTTTACCTGCATGAAGGAACTATGTTATGCTTGCTCGAATAAAATTGTATTATGCTAAATCCGTAATTTTAACCGGAATATGTTAAACATCAATCAGGCGAAATTCAAATTAGCAGCGCATGGACAATCGATACTCTGATATTGCGATTACGAAGAATGAGCGCGGGAACACGTTTTGCCCTGGCAAGAGATACAAGTCATTCGAATCAAATCACTAGTGCTTTAGCCAATATTGTGAAATACTCCCTTTTCGTGTAATTCGAAAGCAATTATAGAGCTTTCCAGCTACTACCTGCAGTATTATTCGTTTCCAATGACCTACATTCTTTTTTTGCTACCTCTGCCAAGTGGTAACGGGAGATCGGTAATGTTGATAAAATATTTACGCAGAGGAATAAGGAACACGAGGAAATATACGTACTATTTTTAGTTTTCTAAGAAATTTATTTATATGATGCATTCGCATAATTTATTCCCGTCTTCTCTCATTATTTTAGATTCGATTATATCATTGAAGCTTCAAAGAAAACCATAAGATTGTTAAAAATATTTTCGTCGAATTTTTGTAAAAGTAGCAACGAATAAACTGGCACGATTGATTTAAAAGGATTGGAATTTTTAAAAATTTTCCACAAGCTTAAATTGGGATTTATGTATATTGATATTTGTTTGGCGTTCCAAATATTCGACAAATTTGAATGAAACACATCGACTAAAAAAGGTAACAATAACAGTTCATTGTAAATGTTACGAAATAGAACGCAGTACAAGCTATTGATATCATAACGTATTCCCTTATGACGTGCGTTATAAATCTATTATGAAAGTTAAAGGAAAGGGAAGACAAATACATTTTACTTGGAAGCTGTCCAAACATACAGTTAGGTCAAATTAGCTTAATTGCTAGGGTACTTTCATAGTGCTATTATATTTAAATCCCTGGTTTAAAATGTGATTTTATTTTATTTAGGGGAACGTGCAAATTGAACGTATTCGTAGAAATTGGTAATTCTATATTTAATTCTTTCGTTTTAATTTAAACGCTGTTCGAAGAACGTGAGTTGTTCGTAGGAAACATATATTAACGGGAAAGGCTGGAGAGCTGGAAAGTATTTGCTTTACGAGGTACATCCAAGGTTTCTCGGAATGTTAAGGGCTATTTTACATTACATAAACACTGGCTATGTATGCGTTACTACATATATTTACTTAGCTTTGTGTTCATCTACAACTACTACATACTAGAAAAGCTGACGAAGATAATAATTTTATCTTGAGACACTCTGTATAGTATTCAGATTATTACATAGTCACCACAATTGGACGCGTTTCATCGTTGCTAGAATAGATAATTGATTAATCATTTCCCCAAGTATTAATTTACACATTTTTTCACCAAGAAAGCCTTCCTCATATAAAACTAATTAATCGTATTCAACTTTCGAAATATCATTATCGAAATTACAAGAATCAATATCCATTTTATCTGTACCCGCGCACAAAGCGTAAATTTGGACGGGTGTACATGTGTGGCGCACCAGTTTTTAAGTAATTGAATTAAAATGCGTACAGAAATGAAATTTATATTAGCTCTGGGAGTAATTATCGTAATACATTTACGTATTTGTCGCAGAAATTTTTCATTTAATCCTCCTTACTTCTTTGTGCTCTCTCAAATTTAATTTGGAAAAACGCCGCGTTCTTTTTTTTTCTGCGTGTAAAATGATCGCGGTGAATCTGGATGCAAAAATTAGATCCTCGGCGAGCGTTCACTTTCTGCAGCGTTGACGTTACTTCGTGCTACTTATGTGTCTGACTAAACCTGTCTGCACCTACTGCAGTAGAACGCATCGAATCGACCGCTACGAATGCGAAGACAGATTGATTGCGCGAGAGAGATAGGTCAATCTCTTAAGTCGATTCAAAGGGTTTTGTATAATTAATAATGGGACGATTTTTAGTTACATGACAGTATATATTTATTGTATGCTGTGGTAAGTAGAATAGGGTTTAAAATTTGATTTTACTTGGTTAGTTGGAAAATACATAGTTTGGAAAGTTGCATGGTTTCTCTTCGTTAATAAATAGTAAATTTACTTTAGTAAAATTACAGAATTAATTTCTACCCGTAATATAAAAAAATGCATCGTATGCATTCACCTATGTTCGTTTACCAGAGTTGGCATGTAGGGCTAACAACATCCCCTGAAGAAATAATTACGAGATATCGCGATGAACTTTCTCTAGTTTTTCTATTCCAATTCGGCCGGTAAGGTCACGGTCGTATTGTTCACCGACGTCGTGCGCAGCTGTAAGTGCACTTTGCCGAGCATGTGTGGCTGTGTGCACGATCTGGCGCGTGCGTAAACACGCAAGAGAACAAACTTTCGCCTGGGGTACAGGGGTGAGTTACCCCACCGTCAACCCTGTTGGCGGACAAGCGCGTTGAGCGATCCGCCACCGGCACGTGCAGTCGACTTTGTACACACATTGTCGCACACATGCCCGGCCTGGGCCATTGAAGAGCATTACTTCTTGCTTATGCTGAAGCGTTTGCAGCGGGAGCTACTATGTCCTTTCGTTTGAGTCTTTGTACGATGGAAATTGCTCGCGATTACGGCGGAAGTAAATTGTTTACACAAACAACTAATTGCCAGGCATGTACGTGTAATAGTTTTACTGATTTTCACGGCCTGTGTGTTGGGGTAATAATTGTAGAATATTATTTTTGTGTGTGAGCATATTATTCTTAGGTATTTCTATAATATTTTTGCTTAGGTTATTTATCGCAATGGAAAAGGATAATGAAGCTTGGAAATATTTTGGGAAAAAAATTAGATTGGTTCAGCCTTATATTCCTCGGCAATTCCTGCGTGAGACTTTTGATTATAATATTTACATAAATTAATTTTTATACCGAACAAAAATTGCTTCCTGCTCGCAATATTTAATTACAGCTCTTAAAATGTATACTTCCGTAGACATATTCATTCGCAAATGGTTGCGACGGGTTTTCACGGTTCAGAACAAGTGGGAAATGAATTTTAGATAAAGCAATCTGACGATTCAAGTATATATTTGTATTTAATTAAAACATGTTTGTGTAACATGAACGTTCTCGACCATTCCGTACTAGAAAAAATACACTATAGAACCATAGAAAAAACGCGATACGCTTGATATCAAAGTATAAACAAATAATACGAGGGAGGAAAAATAAATGAGAAAACTAAATATAAATATAAATTTTGTCCAGTCAGGGTGTATTTCTGTGTGTACTTTTTTCTTATGTTGTTTCATTTCATTGGTTTCCTAAAATAGTGCAATTTACACGTTAAAAGAAAAGAAACATTGCTTTATCGAAAACAAGCATCCTGTTTTCATCAGTTTCATTCTTCGCGCAATACCTTTTAGAATTACAAAATATACAATATTAAAGTGAGACAGTATGTTTGTTCGTGTGTATTCGATTAAAGTAAACAAAAATTCGTTCCACAAAAAGTTAAATAAGTATGTGAATATTTGAAAAGAATGTTACCGTTGCTATCGATTTGTCGAACATCGAGGATCCCAGGAAAATACACGTTAGTTTGAAAATCAGCGCGTTCGTGGCTTGGAAACGTTGGCAGAGGGATGGCGGTGTAGACTAGGTTTATATCGTGGTCAGCGCCGCGGCGCGCGTCACCTTCTATCTCTCTCTGGCCCCGTTCGTTCCTCTTTGTCTCGGAAAAGTTTCCGGTGATGAGCTTTGTTGGCCGTTTCCCCTGCAGGACGGAAAAGTTAAATGCGAAAGTTTTATCCGATATCCAGTTCCACGACGCCGCTGGAAAAAGGGATCTACGCGCGCCGTTACACCGAAATTCGGATACCCCATGATAATTATAATGTTTATAATTTGTATTCGTTCCCCTCTGGGGACATCGAATATTATGGTTACGTCGCGCGTAGAAATATCGTCAATTTTTTTATTTCTCCGCGATTTATTAAACGATGAACAAATATTTCAGCTGTAACGATGTGGAATATATTAGTTTTAAAGGGTATATGTTATTGTAAAGACAGAATGTCGAAGTAACGAGTGTATGTATTTGATTATTGGATAATCGAATTATGAGTAAATATTTCAATTTCAATTATAGTCATGAATGATCGAATGTAAAGGCACAGAATTAATTTCTACACCTAGTATTATCAACGATAAAACGGAGAGGGATAATCGATCAAATTTACAACGAGTCTAATGAGATCATTTATTCCGTACTTATTATTCAGTATTGTGGTCTACCATATATTTCGTTACGCAATAATCACTGCATCGATTATGTTAATAATAACGGTTCCACTATTTATTGATAGAATATTTGATTTCCAGATGGATAATACAATCGTATTGTTTATCGTATCAAAAGCTGCAGAATTTATATTTTGTTTATTTGTATGAGAACTTTGAAAAACGAATAGAAGATAAATGACTACAGGGCAAAGTACGCTTTGAAATATAGAATGAATTTGAATTTCACGTTGAATTGATGAAGGCTTATTCAATAGATATTTAATAAAATGTACCTTTCAAATGTGTCGCCATGGGTACTGTATTTTTATTCTGCATGCATTATTTGAATAAAATTTTACTCGTTTCCGCTGACGGTAATTCTTCGTGGAAAAAATCGGTCGAAAATATTAAATAGAGTTTATATGTATGAAGCTTTGAGAAATGTGAGAATTAAAATGAACAATCTTTTGTACTTGTAATTGTACTCGAGTGCGATTAGTTTATTCAGAATTCTCCTAACTTTAAATTTTCATTAAATAAATCAGAGTACAAATACGTTGAATAAATTGAATTACAATTAAGAATTTATTTAAAGTTCGCGTATACCAACGTTTCAAACAAATAATTTAAACTGTAATTTTGTTTTCTATTTAGCATGGCATCGAAGAAGACGAGGCAAAATCATTCTATACAGCACTTACTCGAGTTGCCAACCAACAGAGAGACAAAATTGCCGCTATATTCTGCGAAGGAGACGATCCAAACGCCACTCATTCCAACCCCTAGACAGGTCCCGATAACCGTGCTGCATCCCTCCCCAAAAAAGGTAAGCGAAGCGTGAATGAGTTATCAACAATCCATTGTTATCGTTCAATTTACAGGAATATAAATGTCGATTACTTTTTACTTTCTTTTTTGTTTGCTACATATCGATGATTTTACGAGTGATTATATGCCCTGTGAAAGTTTGCATTAAAACTTGACGTATTATCAATTTTTCGTGATAACATTCATTTCGAATCTGTAAAAAATACGACACCATTTTTCTTGTTTATCATACGATAGAAGTTCAAATTACAGCATTCAATTGAAAATACTTATCCAAGTTAAACGAGTCTGCTCATCGTTGGAATGTTGTTTTGTAAATATTTGTATTATTAGATTATCGTGTTGCTAAAAATTTATTTTCATACGCTCGGCAACAACAGTGAAACTGTGAAATTACTTTTCGTTAATACTTGATACAGTTTCAAATAAAATAACTAAAAAGAAAAACTGAAAAAAAAAAACGAACTAAATTTGACAAAAATTAATTGAACGAGCCTTTCCATCGTCGAAATATTCTTTCGCAAATATTTACAATCCCATGTATTCATTTCTTTAAATCGGCTTGTATTTGAAATATACAGTGATCGTTATTATTATTATTGCTATTATCATATGCAGCAAAAGCGATAAAATTTGTATGACTTTTGGAATTGTAGCTGGGTTCAATATTACTGGAAATCATTGTTTCAAAATGTGACGAAAAAAATTAAATGTGACAAAAAAACAATTAAATGTTGCTCCGATAATTCGCTTACATATGCGCAAAAAGTTAAGATTTAATAACTTGCAATGTTAAATATTCGCGTAAAATGAATGAAATGAGCAGCCGGCAAACGACCTTTTAAACGTAAAGAAAATGGGATTGGCGAGAAACGTAAAGTGGAACCATTGTAACCGCATAAATTGCTGACGTTTTACTTTACTGCGGTGGTTTTTTTATCGATCATTCGGCACGTGGAACATTGTTATTACTCCTATAAATGTCGACGTAAGCTCGTAGCCGCGCTGCGCTGGCGGAGTAGATAATTTTTAACTTTATTTCCACCATTTCTGTCGTCCTGTAATTATCAGTCCCTCCACTCTTCCTTTAATCGTATACAGAATTCAAGTAACACTTTGCTAATACTGGTATTACTGCACCTATTATTTATTAATTTTAACGGTGATAAGATCGATGAGATCATTTTCCATTTCATTTCATCATTTTTTCCGTGCTGCAATTAAGAATTATTTACACTTTAATCACACACAGAAGTAACATTGCATCCCACTTCTGTGATTATTTATAAGCACACTTAATATTTTATCTAACCTCGACATATATTCAGTGATATCATCGTATGGAACGCATAGTAATTACATGAACTTCACCTGAACGCTTTCATTTCTTCGTAAATTCACTCGGTACATTTAACGAGATGGAACAATGGATCGTATATGATTTCACGAAGATACACGTTTCAACAGTACTTTTCTATTCGCGCACGGCGGAACATGATCTGTTTTACATAACTTTAAACACACGCGAGGATATCTATTTTGGCTGATTGAAAAACTTTTTCTTGTTGCCGTACGGTTGCTCTTTTGTTTCCTTTTCGTTCCATTTTATCCGACAGGGAGTCATGAAGAGGGATTCATGTAACTTAGTGGGGGAAGCTTCGGGTTCTCTGTAAAATAACGATTTTTAAAGTTTCTCGAGGAGTTTCAAACCTGTTCCCACCGAGATTCGCCGACGAAGTTTGCAAAGTTTGAGCCTCGTAATTGGAGAGGAAAGGAATTTCCTCTAACCATGTAAAATGGTTAGTACGTTTAATGCTTGAATCTAACGTTGTCCTTCCTTGATTGGTTAAACAATATTTCTGACGTAACGGCTGGATACAGAAGGCAGAATGTAATAATTTTCTTATAAAAGGTAGTAATGTTTATGAAGAAACATGTAAGTATTATTATAGATGCACGTTTTGGTATACGTGAATACTTTGTTTTATATTATTTATTGTGACAGATTTGACATAGCTTTACTGGTTATTGTCTGTAGTATACCTTATGAGACGTGTAAGAATGTACCATTCAATAGTAGATGGTGTCTTTGTTATCAATGGATAATAATATATATTACTGTAAGCAAAGTCTTACAGGTATTTTAATTATCTGAGATTACGTATGTATGACAGTCAACAATAAAATTGTTGAATGAAACTTTATGAAAGTTGTATTGATTTATTACCGACAGTGTCGTCGGTAATAGCAACTGTGGCTTGAGTAGAGAGCACCTTTGGAAATTTACCGATTCAGTATCGATTCAAGGTTATATTCATCGGTAACGTAGGTTACTAATGGAAGGAAATATTAGTTACCAACAAATCCGGAGATACGTAAACCGTAGAATATTGACTAGGCATTGGATGAAAGCTTCGGTCTCACAACTTGGGAGGGCTCTGGAGTCTGGAACACTCTTACCATTTATGTGTCATTCTCAACGTTATCGATTCAGAATGAAATAGCATTGCAGCGCTTGCTGCGTTAAGAATTAGAACAAACTTCAAAAAATAATTCGACAATACGTTTCAGTTATCTTCAGGGTTTTGTATGAAATATGGACTGATTTAGAAAAGTGCTGGAGGACTCCATGTATTTTAACATTTGCTAAAATATTCCAAGCTTCATCAATGACTTCTTTATGTTTTCCAACCTTACCGACTTGGAAGGTTGGGTGGAACAAGGTTCTTGGAATTACCGCCCTGAAACGAGAGATGCATTCCAAAACCATTGATTTACTACTAGGTCGGTATCACAGGGAGTAAGAAGTAACAGTCCTGTGTTAGAGAGAGCATGCTAATATCGTTTAAAATTCTCTATTTATTCAGACTCGTGAATAATAAAAGAAGAATATATATCTAACTTCAGAGAAGAACTTTTATTGGTAAAATCATTTAAATTGACTTCTTTTATGCAATGAAAGTATGAATTGATAGTGATAAAGTACACTTATTGTATATCCAACTAAATAAAATGATTATTTTGCAGATAAACTTTCGAGTAGGTTTCTGAATGTAAGGGAACACATGGACAATACGTTTATTTAAATTTTGATCTTTCATTGGGGGATGAATGCGCATACTTTACGAGAAAATAATTTGCTATTGAAAGCCCGTGAATGGAACCACGGTCGGAGGCGTCTTGAGCATACGCAAGGTGGTGGGCGGAACTGAATTTATGATAATTGCATAAATCAGAGCTTTCCTCCACAATAATCATAATCTATTGGGATAGTTGTGCGAAGTTAGCTATTTAGCCAACGGGGCGCATAACGGAAGAAGGCCAAGGGGTTTCGTGAGACCGTGAATAAGACAAAGTCGATGTCCTAAGGTCGAAGCTCAAGGGTAAAGGGTTTCTCACTTCTGATTTGAAGACAGTCGTCCTAAAAATTTACAACAGGAAAGAACACATTAAAACAAAGTCTTTGTTATTGCTATACGACACATTTAACGTGGGAAAAGATCTGGTAGAAATCAATTGTCTAATTCTACGTTAGTTTTTTATTTCAATTTCAATTTAGAGTTCCTCCCATATAATTTCTATGATGAATTTCTGGTAATTTTGTAAAAGATGAAAAATATATGGATTTTTGGAAATCAATAAAGAATGTGCACTACCACGAGAATGAGGGAAACGACGATAGATGGTGCCGCTGATACAGATGCTGCCTGTGCCCTGTTTCTAATACAAATATTTTATTGAACAAAATTTAGTCACAACAAACACAGCGATAGAAGACGATTTCGAAGCATTACATTTTTCTGCAAAAATGAGTACAGCAGGAAGAACTGTACAATACATATTAAAGACAGCTAACATTAATAAAATGGAAACGAAAATATTTATTTATACAAGCAATCATTTATATTATTTCGACCATTGCAAGTTTATGATCGCAGTTTCTTTGTTATCATATTTTCAATTTAATCGTGGGAAATGTAAGGGGTGACTGACGGTTCGAAATCGCTGATGATTTCTTTATTAGCGTTGGGAAATGGGAATCTTCCAGCGATTCGCAGTACGGTGCTGGAATATTAATGTTAAAATCTGAGCCGACTGAACCGACGGGACCGTTACAGTTATGATTACGATTACGAGCAGTCGTCCTTCTTAAAGGAGAACCCTTATAGCTTGGGCATAATATTCGTTGGAGATTTCGAGGAATTTCTTCGCGAGATATACAACATTACCTAACATAAGTATTTCCTAGCATAGCATTTTCAAACTCTTAGTTTCTTCTAGATGAAAATTCACAAAATTTAATTTTGTTCCAATGTTTTCTTTCAAATACTTTAAAAATTACTGTTATGCCAACCGTACTAAATACCGGATAACAGAGGGAGTAGGAAGAATATAGAATTATAAATTTTCCTCATACAGAACCCTCACGAAACGGGGGTAAATAAAAGTCGATTCAATTTGGAACAAATTTAAGGAACTTCCTGCTTCCATCGAAGTTTCTTTTTACAATTTTTACGTACTAGGAAGGACATTCGTTCATCCCCAAAGATGGTATTAGCGACCACTTCCTCTAGTGGAAAACTGAAAAGACGAAGCGCAATACCCTTTAACTCTGTCGAGCTGTCATACTGATCGGGGTTGGAACGAACCCTCCAATTCTCTCAGTGGGAGTACCCACGCGGTTGAGTGAATTTTTATGAATGAATGCGCGAGGATACCTAGATCCCTGGCTTTGGAATGCGCACCCTGTTTTCACCCCTGTAACTATATTTACGTCAGTGACTCTCAATTTGAAGTTCTTGTAACGGTTACCCCATAACACGGATAGGGACGATCGTTAAAATGCAACCCTTTGTGGCAAGTAATTCTAAAATTCATTTTTACCCCATTTGCACCTTCATGATTTTTTTTTTTATTTATTTTATGTACTTTGTAATATCTCGTTGATGATATTCTTATTTATTCGTATTTATTATTTCATTTATTGTACATAATTCG